GACCTGACCCATGGATAAGTACACCAAACAAAGAAGCACCAAGTGACCTGCTGTTAAGTACTGTGGTTTCAAAGCACAAAAGTGATAGAAAGAAGCGGATATCTCCAGTATTTTCCGAATTTAGTATTTTCCCATAGGCTTAACATTATGACGTAATGACCTCTCACTGACCTCAGGTCAGTGACCTCAAAAAACCCGAACTATATGTTATACAACTCGGTGAACTTAGCACACCCTGAAAGTTTGAAGGAAATCAGTCAAGAACTGTGAGTTGGACAGGTGCAAACAGAAAATTGAAATTTGACCATGACCTTGTACCGGTTTTTCTGACCTGGTGACCTGACCCAAGGTCACCCGGACCTGAAATTTACAGGTCATATGTAAAAAGGTTGCCCCATAGGCTGTGCCAAATTTGGCGGCGCTGCGCGCTGCCGTTTTTACGCTATCTTCGAAAAACCTTAGGGGGGGGGGGGTCGCATCGACCCCCTGCCAGGGCGAGGGTTAAGGCAAAATCACCAGTTCCATTTCCCGTCCCACGGTGCTTCCACCGGTCGGCCCACTGCACCATGACGACGGATCGGTGTAGCATAGGTATACTGGAAGGTCAGGCACGCGGATTCATGACCTTACCACTATAAAACAATTCGGAAAAGTACAGATACCTCTTGCTTTGAACAAGCATGTGAAACCCAGAGAGCATTTTCAGACTATGACATTTACCTACCCATATAGGTAACATACCTACTTAGTTGTGTGGCGGCGGGAGAGAGTAGGTACACCGACCTCTGGAGACCCCCCACAGGTTCCGAGCTTTCAAAATTGGCATCTGAGGGCCGCGCGCGACTCCTGCGGGGCTTCGCAACGGCTCTATTGGGGCTCACTCAACCTGCCTAGTCTTACTGCTAAAAAGACTGGCCCTGAGCCCTAAGGACTTCATCAGTCTCTGCCAGCCCCAGGACCCACACCGGCTCATGGGGTCCCGACGTCGAAATATGAGGGAATCTGCGCCGGACCATCAGGACGTAAAGTGATCTCGATCAGGACCAACGTAAGGCTGTGCCGGAGACTGCGTGAGCCCTGTGATCTTCAGAAACCCACCCATGTATGTTTTCACATAGAGGCCAGTTTAGGGCCCTCAGAGACCAGTACAGGGCCTGCAAACTACAAAGGCCAGTAGTTTGAGACAATCAGTGACCGAGTTGGGCTCTCAGAGGCTAATGTGGGTCATTACAGGCCAACATGGGCCCTCAGAGGTCAGCGTGGGGCCCTAAAAGACCGGCATGAGCCGTCGTTGGACCCCAGAGGCCAGCAGAGGGCCCTCAAAGGCCAAGATGGGCCCTCCTCAGAGGCCAATGCAGGCCCTTAAAGGCCGGCGTCGGGTCTTCAGCAGCCAGTGCGGGGCCCTCATTGGCACCTAAAGGTTCGTCTTGGGACACCACAGACAGAAATAAGGCCACCAGAGACCGGTGTGAGATCCTCAGACGCCGGTTGGGACCCCTGAGGCCGGTTAGGGGCCCTCATAGGCCAGATGTGGGGTCTCAGAGGTTGATGTAGGCTCTTAGCGGCCAACGTGGGCGCTTGACCGCCACTGAAGTTCCCTCAGAGGTCAGTGTAGGACGCTCAAAGACCGGTGTGGGAGCTATATTAATAGCTGGGCGTGGGTTTTTTTAGCCTCGTGACGATCGAATAATTGCCAGGGCCCCATACACCTATATGGGGGCCCATTGGTTGTTTGAGGGGGGGGGGCAAATTATATGATGGCCCCCTTTATTGACCTTTGGGGGGCATGGCCCTGATGCCCCCCCCCCCCGCGACCGCCACTGTGTACACATTACACACATGCCTCTGAGATTACATACTAGCTCATGCAAACTCTATGCAGGCCCCGGAGTTCCCACGCTAATCCTTAAGAAACCAAGCCGGCATACGGCGTCACCACCGGGCTTCTGAGGTACACAGCACCAACCCATGAGGTCTTACTTTAGTGTCTTAGAGCCAATCTCCTTTAGCAGGGCCCACCCACCACTGCCGAAGAGGGTCTCATGCCAGCCATTGTTGGGCCTACGAGAGCCTCAAGTAAACCCACGCTGATATTCCATATAAGATCCGGCCATACTCGTGAACCAGTGCCAGCGACGCTGACCGCCAAATTGACAGAATGCGAAACTGAGCCCACTCATGAGTGAAATTTACGTCCTTTGATGGCGCAAGAAAGAAAATGAAACATACGAAAAGCTTTTCTAGGACTTTTGTTCGATCTGAAAGGTGGGGCCAAAAGATAGTATGGCCCCACCTTTCAGCACCAAAGGGGGGGCCATGGCCCCCGTGGCCCCCCCCTGGGACCGCCAGTGAATCGCTGCCTGGTATGCTGAATCCTCGATACTAAGTAGGTGCAATGCGATTTTTGCGGAGCGCAATCTAAGTCAGTGCATTTCCCTTGCAGATGATACTGTGTCAGCTCTGCTGTCGCTGCTGGGTGAGGACGACGCAGTGTTCCCAACAAACATGGAGGCGTGGCCTTGTATTGTGGGCGAGAACCTGTGTGTGGAAAAAACGGAGGTCGTGAAGACGAACGGGCTAAGCAGCCAGGACAAACTGCTCCTGTGGGGAATCGTTTTCTCCGTCCTCTCACAGAAAATGACATTCACGGCATGCCAGTGCACGGCCACCCTCATGAACGTTCATGTGCTGAGGGCGGATGAGATAGGCTCCATGCCAAAGAAGCTCCGAGCTGCCTGGAGTAGGCTGACTGCTCCAAATAAGTAGGTGATAAAAAGATGACGTTCAGTTGAGTTCATGAGCCTGCTTTCCTGTTCATTGTGACTTGTGAGTTAGGGCTCCAGGCGGCGCGGAGTCTCTTTACCATAGTGCCTTGGTTATCATACCAAGATTGTTTAGAAAAGAACATTGCTTTGTTTGTCTTTGTCCTCTTGTGTCCATCGAGTCTCGTGACCGCCCGATTCGGTGACCGCCTGTCACCTGACTGGATCTGGGTGGGACAGTCACCGGGCTGTGAAGACTGGTGTCAGTCTGGCGACCGCCCTCCCCCCATATCTGGTGTCTGGTCTGGTATGTTGTCAGCAGAGTCCGGTGACCACCCGTGCACTTGAGAAAGCGCCACTCACAGTTGCCGGAATTTTTGTTAATAACATTTGTTTATTGCTCGTCTCGGACGTTACAAAATAAATTGTCTTTATTTAAGGAATGCTTTGCTTTGTATGGGGTCTAGGCAAGCCACAGTATACGCATATGGATTTGTCACATGTTCACACAGACGCATGCACACGTATATATATATATATATATATATATATATATATATATATATATATATATATATATATATATATATATACTAATTCATCGAGCTGCAGCTACACCAAACACAGGTGTATCTCCTTCACAACACCGGAAGGGGGTGTACCCAATTGGCTGCTAACACCACACATTGGTGTAAAGGTATTTGTTTTGTACCCGTAAAGAAGGTGCAAATTAATGGTGTAGCACCTTTTTATGGTGTAAAGACGTCGTGTAGCACCACAAGCTGGTGTACTTACAGTGATTTAACGCCATACGCCAGTGTATGTGCCTGGTGTTACACCAGGATGCAGTGTATGCTTACACCAAAGCTTGGTGTTGAAACTACACCGGTGCAGGTGCTCAAAAACGGTGGGGTGTAAACATTTCCTAAAAAGGTGTAAACACCAGGAGCGGGTGTGAATTTATTTTCAGTGTAGCTTGCTGTGCGGGCATTGACCTCCACAGCCTGATCAGGAAATTTCGGGAAGTCTTGAAAATTAAAAGCTTGAGTTAACCGTGCCCACATAGCTCAAGACAGTCCGCATTACTCCTCATTTTGCCAGTTTCAACTGGCTGCGGCTGTTCCTCAGCTCTCACCTATAAAGACCATCCTCCACAACCCCTCACTGTAACTCACAGTGCAGCGTGAGGCTTTCGCTCCCCGATTTCAGGAAACTGGTTTGAAACCTGTTGCTTGGTGAGCAATCTCAAGCCTTCCTACGCATCTATTTTCGTGACCTCTGCATTTGCAGCACGCAACATAACTAGGCACCATCAAAGTGTTGCAATGCACTCTGATCGATCACCTTTGTGAACGTAAGTATTTCAGCATTGTATGTCGAAAGATCTAGGAAATGAATCATTAAAAATAGCACTGCTCGAATTTACTGAGGTAGGGTGTGCTTTACAATAAGGAGAGAAGTAAAACATCCTGCTGCATTGTGGTCCAGCAGGATCGGACATATTCGACTTCATTGATAGCTAATTTCAACCACTCTGGCATGCGACGATGAAGTGTCTGACGACGAAGATCCCTGACGTCTGACGATGAAGTGACAACATTCACATACTGTCCGTCCATTTTCCCGACATGGGTGAATAATGATTGACCGGTTTGGTATCTGCGGTATGCGTGGTATATCCGGTATGCGTGGTATATCCGGTATGCGTATCTGACGTAGATGCTCACTTCCTCTCTCGCAGAAATGAATGAATGATTTGTCAGGGATTTTCGAAAGAATGAAACACCAAGGTCGGTACATTGTGAAACAATTTCTGATAGAATAAGTACATTGTGCATACCCAGACAAACCTGCGACGCTTGCAGATTTGCACTGATTATTTATTTTGTTGGATTATGTCCCTTCGGTCAACTAAGTCCCTTTCAGGGTTGTGGGATGAGATAATGAAGGCTCAACGCTGAACCGAAGCCGAATCGAACCGATCAACGACTGGTGTCCCAACGTAGCTGAAGCTGCTGCCGTTGGGACGGGAATATCCAGGCGGGAGACTGAACCATCATTCCAAGGGGTATGTCATTTTCGGTTTTCCATCGACCGCATGGTTCTCTGGTGGGATGACCGTCAGCCCAGAATTTGGGGATGGCAGGATGAACAAATATGGGAATTGATTGGTTCTGGGGATGTGAAGGACGAAACACACAAACCTGCAACGCATGCACGCGATCAGTAAACACTCACCGTGCCGGAGTGAAGGACCGCCGTCGATATATCGCGTGACGTCACTGATACGCCGGCGGGTCACAGCGCGCGGCCATGGATCCGGGACCGATCCGTGACGATGTGCGGGTCGTCACGGGCGTCACCTTACGGCACGTCACTCCGCGGCGGCCGTCACGTCGGCCGGCACAACCCAAACTGATGCCGCTGCCGCCGCCGCCGCCGTCGCTCGCAGTCCCAGCGCGTGGGAGTTCCACAAACTGCCGCGGGGCGGCGCAGCAGTCACGGCGGGCTGCGGAGCTCGCATCCAAACCGAGCTTCGCCGACAAAATATATAAAAAAAGACATGCAAATAGATCAATAAAATTGTGTCGATTTGGGCTGAAGTAGTTTTTAAATCGTTTGTCCCGAGAGACCTTGCTCGACGTAGGAGGTCATTGCATTGGTCTATAGCCGATCTGCCGGGACCTTGATTTTGACTTTTTTAGGCGGAGGGGTACCTTCTTTGCCACTTTTGAGGCCCCAGAAAGAACCCCCATTCGAGACTCGATTTGTAGCATTACGCTTATGGCAGTGCATGTAAAGAAACCGGCATCGCATTTCCAAGCGTTCGCCCCATCCCTTTCAGCCCTGACTGGGGCCGCTAGTGTTTTCCCATGGGTTTGTTTACTGTCTTATTTTGTCTTGTTATGTTGTCTTATATGATCTTGCCCGTGCGCATAGGAGACGATACTAAGCACTAGAAGATTCACCAATAGGAAACCATGCGGTAGTGAAACTGCAAGCGTGTTAACTTGAAGGTGCATTTGTTTCATTATGTGACCCGTCTCCACCGGTTCAACGGTCCAGCCGATCACCCTCTTCAGCTCCAAACCCTGGAAATAACAGTCTTCTTGCGCCACGCTCTGGGAGCCGGTAGCGCACGGCGGCACGCTTGGCTAGCTTGTGTCACGCGCTGTCGCCACCCGGCGAGGCGTTGGCCAAGTGCTCGTGACGTGACGTGACGGGTACCATCGGGAGGTGGCCGCGGGCCTGCCGCCGGAGCTGCAGCGGGGAGCTGATCATTGATTAAGGCTCGGCATCGCGACGGCAGCAATGTGCAGTGCAGTAGTCAATAAAAAGGTAGTGTTCTGGTAGACTGGGCATGACTCATGACTAATTCTAAGTTGAATTTTGAAAACTTCGAATAAAATGCAGCCTTTATATATGTTTTAGGTAAATAACTGAACAATAACATATTCGAGTCGAAGTTGCGTTCAAATATAAGGACACCAAAGCAAGTGCAGACCCTACATTTGTTGTGAAGATCTGCTTAAGTTCATATGTATAGTGTGGCTTCACCTTGGGGGTGCCCAATTTAAACCTATACCAATGCCCCCGAAAACACTCGATCCATCACTGATTACACCCTGAGCGAGACAGCAAGGACGAAACCTGGGAGTTTGTGCACAGGGTCACGAATATCAACCAGTCCACGTTGTGCGGGGGCAGAGAACTGTTTGGTATTCCGCAGCCGGACAGCAGCACAAACGGCGCAGTGTTCGGCGTACGCCCAAAGGTCAGCGAGCCAAGGTCACACCCTCCCGACCCTCGCCGAAAGTGAGGGGCTCCTCACACGCAGCCGTCGCCGATACCGCAAGATTGCCAATCGGTTTCCGGTGGGACCTGCTTCACTTTCCGCACGCTGTTGTTGACTCTTCGGAGGTTCGATTCACAGTGCAGAGTAGTTGGAGGTCACGTCGCTGCACCAAAAAACAAAATGGGGAAACAATAGTGTGATAGTGATGAGAGCCTTTAGGTATCGATTAATCTAGTCTCTAGTCTTTTAATGGCGGATGATGACCAGAAGACTTTGGTTTACTGCCATGCAGATGAGATCACCTATTCAAGACACACATAATGAAGATCCTAAGTAAAAATATGTAATAGTCGAATAGTTGCCTTCCTACGTGGAAACCTAATGCCTTGGTCATTTCTCGAATGATTCATCTAATGCCTGAGACAATAATCACTCATTCGCTTTCTTTCGTTAACATACCGTCACTCCAGGCATCAGATAGATCCATCTCGACAAAGACGTCACCGTGAACTTCCGCCCTTTTCCGCCGTTCCCCTCTCCTCTCCGGTTCCAGTACCGCAGTAGTGAGAGCTAGAGTCGGGGGAGGGGGGGGGGGGCAATATCAATTATCAGCGTAGGACCGTTCCCCCCCCCCCCCCATCTGTGATCCATGGAGGAATCTCCGCACCACATAGCAAAAGAGGACCACCGTAACGAAGCTACTGGGAAGAGGTGCCAAAATTACATCAGTCCTAGAAAAGAAATCCAAAACTTTTGCTCCCAAAACAATTTACCATTTAACGTCTCAACAATACTAAACGACAAAAATCCAAATCTAACGAAACTTCTCCTGAAGTTCATATTCGAATCGGGCATATTTAGGGCTCTATAACAAAGAGAGAAAAAAAAACAAGAGAAAGAAAGAAAATTAAAAAAAAAATGGGAAAAGGCCCCCCCAAAAAAGGGGAAAAAAAAGAAAGAAAAAAAGGAAAAGAAAAAGAAGGCAAAAAAAATAAAAAATGATAATAATAATTAAGAGTGAAAAAAAAGAAAAAAAGAAGAAGAAAAGAAAAAAAAAGAAATAAAAGAAAGAAAACAAAGACAAAAGATAAAGGGAAGAAAAGAGAGAAAAAAAATTAAGGGGAAAAAAGTCCCACCCCGAAAAGATACATCTAAATTTATACCTCCTGTGTATGTGTATGTGTGTACGTGCGTGCCACCATATGACAACAAAGGAGCGACGGCAAGCCGGCCTGGGGGCCGGGGGCGGCACAAAACTCCAACATCAAGAGCCGCCCCCCTCCTCCCGGGCCGGCCCATCCCCAACACCTACAACGACGGAACGACGGGCTAGCCTGGGGGGTGGGGGCGGCGCGAAACTCCAACGTCAAGAGCCGCCCCCCTCCTCCCGGGCCGGCCCTATGACACCAACAACGGAGAAGCGGCGAACTGACCTGGGCGAACCTAACAAGCACAAAAAAAGAATAAAAAAAAAAAATATAAAAAATTAAAAATAATAATAATTAAAAACAAAAAAAATAATAATAATAAAGACAAAATAATGAAGGAAAAAAATATATATACAAAAAAAGTCAAAAAAGAGGTGCTGAATCCCTGTATACGTACCCTGATATATTTGACTGACTCGTGTGAATATCTCGTGTATCAAAAATGAAAAAAAGAGGCAAAAGAGAGAGAGGAAAAAAAATAATAATAAAGAAAAAAAATAAAAAAAGAGAAAGAAAGAAAGAAAGAAGAAGCACAAAAAGCCCAACAAAAAAAGGAAAGAAAACAAAATCTGTGATTGTATCTTGTATATGTGTGCTTGTATGTGTGTGCTTGTATGCTTGTGCTTATGCTTGTAATATGTGTAGAAATACCTTCTCCCACCCCCCTCCCCCTGTAAACAACGGACTGAGCCAAAAAGTGCAACGCCGTGTGCGTGCTCAACTTATGAAAGCACCAGCACGGCCGATATCGCCTCCGGCGGCAGGCCGACAAAATACAACGAACGAACGAGCACCGACTTCCTGTTGAGAGTCTATGGCCAGCCCGTTGCTGTACCCTATCGTCATGTAGTTTTTGGGAGTTGCAAAAAGTGCTTATACAAAAAGGGCGTCACTGCCATGGCGTGCACGCTTTTAAGGGACGCAGGAGTCGGAGTTGGAGTCAAAGTCACCAAAACCCGTCAAGACCGCAGACCTGGCAAAGCAGCCATGTGGGCACTTTGATCCGGTATTTACCAGTGACGGGCGGGACCGCACCCCACGTCCGCAGCATTATCGGCGCGGAATGGAGACACTCGTTAGATGATCCGCGACTGACCACCACCGAAATGGAGCATCTGCTGCCAATCGCCATGACAACTGGCCGCAACCGCAGATTTTGCATCTGCTTGAGGTCGGAGAATCATGAAGTAGCCCGGGCGGTGACATGCCACGGTTTTTGCTTTCGGCTGCGCGCGCTTCTTACCCAAAAGTATTATCGAACCATCGATAAAAACCCGCAGAATCAGAGCTATAGGCTCTCAATCCGTGTGGTTTCATTGAAGATTTATTGGCCAATACGAACTTCCAGAATTAGAGCGAGTAAATACTGCAGCGACCACCAACTGACTGATCTTGCAATCAACTACATTTTTTTTCGTGTGGTGAGAAAGTAAATGGTTAGTCCGTGGGCCGTGCTTTATAAAGATCTGCTTCCGGAGGCAGTAAACCTGTTTTAGACCGTATCTTCAATTTGCAGACCTCACTGCAGTAGATTTGTGAAACTCCCAAGACACGACTTAACTTATTGGATTTCAGCCGACCAATTAAAAAACAGACTAAAACGTTTTTAGGACATTCATAGAAATCAATGCATATTGATCACAGTCTCTCTAACTACCCACTACCCAGCGTGTGTCCGGTGATTGTCGGTGCCTCTTTTTGCGCCTTATCTGTAGCAGTAGGTCACTGGCACTGCCAAGTGCCATCTCCCAGACCTCCTCACTCCTCAGCCTGCCTCTTGTCGATGAGGCTCGTCGGACAGCCTTAAAACATCATCAGCATTCCAGACAGGTGTCGTTAGCTCGTCTTTCAGCCACCTGTCGCCGGCTCTGGCCGAATTTCGGGACTGGCCATGGTCGAGAGGGAGCTGCTGGCTCAGTCATTCAGTTCACCCGGTACCTTCTCAGCGGGACGGTCTCCCGGCTCAGTGGTGGGTGAATGAGAGCAGCGATAACAGTTTGGGTCCTGGTCGACCGAGGTCCTCCTGACGCAACGTGACACACTTGGCTGAGGTCCAGGATGAAACAGCTCAGTTTCAAATGTCAGAAGAGCGTTTGGTGTTTCAAAATCTTTAAGCAAATATCCGTTTGATATTTTTAAAGCACTGGGAGAAGATTTGATGCCGCCTGAAGAATGGTCCTTATGAGAATTGAAAAGTACAGGTTGAAATTTGTGAGTTTTATGAAGAACTCACAGGCTCCAGTCTCCCACCAGGCACCAGCATCAAACATTTTGAACAAATTGACGAGCTGTCCTTTTTAATATCTTCGTCAGGTAAACGATTCTTCGATAGAAGAATCTTTTTTACCTCAATTATAACTGAGGTGAAAAAAAATTATCAAAGCTCAAGTAATTCTGAATTCAGATTTATTGAGTTGCC